TTATATTTCACATTTTCTCAGAATTGTGAGAAAAAAAGTCAAAATTGTGAGATAAAAGATATTTATATATATATATATATATATATATATTTATTCCATGGCAAAAATAAGCTTCCATACCTTACAACTTAACCACTGATTTGTAGTCGTGTCCTCTTTTGGAAGACCAAACAAAGTAGTTTCGCTTTCACAACGAAAAACACTGCGGCCTAGCATGAGCAAAAGCCGCGGCTTAGCATGAGCTGAGGCCGGGATAGAGTGAGCTGTGGCCGGGCTAGAGTGAGCAAAGGCGGCGGGGTCGACGAAGGAGCGGCAACCACATGTGACGACCCCGTTATGCACCAAGAGCTTGTAACACTCCAAAGAGAAAGGAAAAATTGAAATCGCATCATATGACCCCTTTAAAAAAAGCTAATAGACATGAACTAAAAGTCACAAAACTCCAATGTGTTTTTTTAAATGCCACCATTACTGAATGTCAAATTAGCAGCATTAAATGCTCTCCTGTGGAGTTTGAGACTCTCGCAGTTAAATTCAGTTCTCTGTAATGCAGCAGTGCACACTTTACACTAAACATCTGATGCCTATAATCTAGCACAGAAGTTCTGGTGAATTAATATCACTTCTAAACTTCCGACTCATTAACCAATTCTCATTAACTAATGATTTGACATTTAATTCGGGCACAACGGTTGCTGAGTGTTATAAATGGCTAGAAAGCTCTGACTCCTGACCTTCCCTTCAGTGTGGCCCCTGCTCCATCTCACTGTGCCTTGTTTCCGTGGTTACTTCCGCATGGTGCTTTCACAATACTTTTAGTCTATTTTTGTGTGCCGCTGAGAGTGTGGACACCCACTTTCCGCATGAGGCATGGAGGAGTCATCAGCCCTGGTTAAACAGAACAGCGTGCGGCTTATTCCCACTGTGGGATCTTTTGTACGCTAATAAAACCACTTCAAAACAATGAATACCAGCTGACTGTTTACATCTTGCAGAACTCGTTGTGTCAGCTGGAGATCTTTTTCTGACAGACTTTGCTCTAGCTATCAGAGCATCCTTCTTCACAACCCAAGGTTTTTATGAAGACTTCTTGATCTAAATTTCCTGTCTAGTGATACTGTACAGAACACAAATTGCCCTCATTTCCTCTGTCACTCTTTGCTGTGTTCTCATCTGGGCTTTGACAGCTGTGTTTATAGGGCAGAAAGAGACAGTTGTCTAATGGAGGGTTGAAACATCATGTTTGAGGGCAAACTGCATGATTGCTGGTATTGCTTGTGAATGCTACCGTATTCATTCCCACTGGCAAATGAGACAACTTCAAAGGAACAGTTCACCTAAAATTATGTCTAAACATTTTTTTAAAAAGTAATTATTCACTCACCCTCAAATTCATTTTGTGGTTTTTCGAGCCCCTGGTCACTATGAACAGCCATTGCATATAGGTTTGAAATGATATGAAGGTGAGTAAATGATGACAGAATTTTCACTTTGGGAACTATTTATCTGATGAGTACAGATATAGTACTCTCTGGGGCACCTCGATTCTGATTTGTACATGTGTGCAGGATCCATGGTGTCTCTTATGATTCATAGATATGAATCAGTGTTCAGCTCAAAGGGCTGGAATATTGTGGAGTGCTTTTCAGAATGTCATCCTGTGAATGTTATCATTGATGTAAACATGCTGAACATCTCAGCCGGGCTGTTTCCATGGATTGTGGAGACTGCATTATGGCAATCCTATGAAAAAAATTTAATATTCAGTAGTTTTTCTGCAATATAATACAAACAAAATCTTAAAACAAAAAATTTATTTTCTCACTTGGTCTGTGGTTGCAATTTAAAATCCTGCCTTATTAAATGTACATTTATTATGAAGAACTTTGAATTATTGTATATATACAGTACCATTCAAAAGTTTGGGACCTGTTTGATTTTTTTGTGTTTTGTAGTATCTTGTTCTCACAAAGGCTGCATTTATTACTTCAGTGTCATATGATCCTTCAGAAATAATTTTAATATGCTGATACAATATTATAAAAAATGTTTAAAACAGTTATGCTGCTTAATATTTTCTTTGAAATCTATTACACAATTTTTCCAGTATTCTTAGACTCAGATTAGCATTTCTTTGAAAGTTACTTTTGTAACTTTATAAAAGTCTTTACTGTCACTTTTGATCAATATGTTTCCTTGCTGAATAAAACTATTAATAAAAATGATTACTAACCCCAAACTTTAAACTGTAGTGTATATATATTTGCATCCAGTGAGGTCCAAAAGGATGAGACCACATGAAACGTCTTCCATTTTGCAATTTTCTATAGTTTTTTTTTTTTTCAAATTATACTGTTTTGCCATTACAATGTAAAATTAAAGGGTTAGTTCAACCAAAAATGAAAATTAGCCTAGGTGTATAAGACTTTCTTCTTTCAGACGAATCCTGTCGGAGTTATATTAAAAATTGTCTTTGATCTTTCAAGCTGTTTAATGCCACTCAGCGGGTGCTGCATGCATCAGTCCAAAAGCAGTTAAATAAAAAACGCCCATCCATAAAAAAAAGGGTCTCACACGGCTCCGGGGGGTGAACAAAGGCCTCCTATAGCAAATCGATGCGTTTTTGTAAGAAAAATATCCATATTCAAAACGTAATAATCACTTTAATGTAGCTTGCGCCCTCCTGTAGCGAATCGATGCGTTTTTGTAAGAAAAATAACCATATTCAAAACGTAATAATCACTTTAATGTAGCTTGCGCCAACAGTTGTACACAGAAGCAGTTCCGGGCGGATGACCTCTGAGGTCAGTGCTGTGCATGCACCAGTGAGTCTCGTGAAAACCAATGTTTGTTAACAGGAGCAAAGGAAGCAAAGTTTCCTTACTTTAGCAAAGGAAAACCAGTCTCCTCTTGGCTTATATCGAAATCTTCCGACATTCTTCTTTACAAATCCTCATTTTCTACTTCTAATAAGTGACCATTGTTTTGTTTTGATCTCTCCCCTGCGCTTCCACGTTCGTCACTTCTGAGCGGCACATGCGCAAAGCCGACCTTATACGTCATTCCCCCGGAACTGCTTCCAGTGTACAACTGTGAGCGCAAGCTACATTAAAGTGATTATTAAGTTTTGAATATGGATATACAGGAGGCCTTTGTTCACCCCCCGGAGCCGTGAGACACTTTTTTTATGGATGGGTGCTTTTTATTTAACTTCTTTTGGACTGATGCATGCGACACCCGCTGAGTGGCATTAAACAGCTTGAAAGATCAAAGACAATTTTTAATATAACTCCAACTGGATTCGTCTGAAGGAAGAAAGTCATATACACCTAGGATGACTTGAGGGTGAGTAATTTATGGGCTAATTTTCATTTTTGGGTGAGATGAATTTCACAAATCATAAATTCAATCCCAGATTGTAAGTGTGGTCTCAGAATTATGAAGCCCACTGCATACATAGTATTTGTACAATTTAAGCAGTAAAGCACATACATCTCCATAAAGTGACAGATGCGCTGATGATCCTGTACAAGAACAGCAATACTCATTCCACAAGTCTCTTTACAACACTGATTCTTAGAAGCACAATTACTAAAATCCACCCCAGATAATACCCACGATCCCCCGTGCTATTATGCCGTTTTATTATCAGTCACTGCTGAGCACATCTACAGTACACATTTTGTGAATCACACTTGCAACAAAACTAAATTGGCAGACTGTGTGCACTAGGCCAGAGAAAGGCATCCAATGATTTTGGCAACTGTATATACAACCCCTGGCACATTAGCTGGCACATTTTCCTCTTTGTATGAAGCCAAAGAATTCACTTATTAACATAATTTGTTCTGACTAAAGGTGACGTAAGAAAACGAGACATTAATTTCTGATTAATGGGCCACTCTTTCCCTGCCTATGTTTATATGGTTTTACAGCGAAAAAAATAGTAATAAACAATCTCACCACGTGCACCTTTAAGAATCAATGGCTGTGTTCAAAATAGCATAAGCATACTACTATACTTGTAGTAGACAACATATTTCTAGTATATAGTATAGCAGTATTCTAGTATATAATATGCATACTGGGTGAAGTATGCAAATTTCTTGGCTTAGAATACATTAACACGAATACTTGAAATAAAAGTGCACAGTAACCATATACGAGATGATAATTGAATTTTACTTGAAGTAAACATACAATGTGTCAAGTTCTGCAACTGTTTAAATGTGTTCATCGTTCCATGTATTGCATACATTTTTTTAGGAATCATACTGAATATACTGCTCAGTATGCAGTTTGCTAGTATGCCATTCCAAACATAGCTTGTGATCACATCTAAATGTGTCAACTTGCCCTTCAACCATGAAAAAGCTGCCTGTCCACTCTGCATATCTATTCAAAGCAACCAACATTTAAAAAAAAAAAGAAAAGATTTTTTTTTTTTTTTTTTTTATTTTTTAGGTTTTTAATCATTCATATTGTTTAGAAACACTGTAATAGAAAGGTTTTATTTAAATCATCTTAAATTAAAGACATTTTGACAAATGCCATCATCATGTGTATATACTTTTCTTTTTTTAATACATATTAAATAGATCTTTTTTGCATATAGTAAAGAGAATGTTTTTTTTTATTGTTCTAATGAGAATGAGACTTTTATTTTTATTTATTTTTGCATTACACTTATGCGATTC